CAGCCTGGCTAGGGAATTCTGGGAGTTGAAGTCCACATATCTTAAAGTCGCCAAGGTTGAGAAACACTGCTATAGACAGTGACTTTCTCATTCTACAGTTATGTTTGTACAGTTGCCAAAGTACCAGGGCTGGAGATGAGCTAATAATATTGAAGCATTAAGACAGAAGCTGCTCTCATTATTCAGAAATATTCTCTGTTTACAGGCCACAAGAGTTTCAACAACTCTGAAGAAAAAATGGGTTTGACCAGACAATAGAGGGCTACAATTACATACTAGAATCACATGTATTATGACCACAATGATTCCACAATTATTATTTTTTTTCCCTGAAAAGCTAGACTTTTTTTTTAAAAACAACTAAGCATTGAGCTTTATACCAGAGCATGGTATTGTGAGTACAGGAGAAGTAGGTGTTTGAAAGGTCATGTGTATTTTTAGCCATTATATTTTGATCGTTCTCCTCTCCTTGTCATTCTTTTTAACTCTGTTCATTTCATGCAAAGCTCCCCATTTCTGGGCATTAAAGCTTCAACTCTTCACAGGTATGGAGTTTAAAAATTATATGAAATAAACACTACAGTATTAATTTCCCACTGCGAAATCTTTTCCCAGATCAGAATCAAAAGCTTGGTTTCTTGTTAACTCTCCTTTTGAAACATTAGCTGCTTGCTCCTGGCCCCAGCCCTGCTGAGGGAAGGGATTTCTTTTTGCTATGTTTTGTTCCTCTCGCAACAGTGCATGGTCTGTGGGGGCCATTTGGTTGCAGAAAGGCAGGCCAGCTCTATCCTTGCGTGCTGCCCTCACAGGCAATCTGATTCTGCTTCAGTGAACAGGCTCCTTGCAAAGCTGAAGCACATTTGACTTGTAGCTGCTCTCCCCCTTACAAAAACCGTCTGGGGAAAAAAAGCAAGCTAAGGGTAGATGGTGTCAGAAAGAAGGGGCGGGAGAGTTCCCAGAGTGCCTCAAGGCCACGCCGGAAATCATTCAGCCGGATCAAGTCCTCATGCAGATTGTGTATCAGGCCAATCTGTAGGAAAATGAAATAATAGAATTACTTTTGAGCAATGTTTTTTTCTGTGGAAAATAATGGGATGTTTCAATCATGCCACTGTCAACTTTTATGAATAGTTATTATTGAATTAGTCATTAAATTTGTATTGTCCCTTTCAGCTGTAAGCTAAAGGCAGCTTACATTGCATCTTTTTTCATTTCTCCATACAACAATCCTCTGAGGTACCTGAGGCGGAGAAAGAGGAAATGGCCCAAAATCACCCAGTGAACTTCTGTGGCAGAGGGTAGAACTGAACCTGGGTTTCCCCAACCCAGTTACCGCATCTAACAGTAGATGCACTACACCGGCTCCCACAACTGGCGTAGCTGATACTCCAGACAAGAGTCTTGGTGGGGATAGCTATA